ATATATATATATATATATATATATATATATAGATGCACGCAGAAACACGCGTGCGCACGCGCACGCACACGCACTCACACACACGATCTCAAGACTAATCCTCATACAATTAGAGAGAAATTCAAATAATATGATGAAGGAGAAGAAAAAAATATATAATAAAGGATAATTAAGGAAGATTAATTTCTCCTCAAATGTAACGACGGGTCCATGGTTTACTAAATAGTGGGTGGGCCCATATGGTCCACTGTTATTTGTGTAACAACAATATAAGTAGTAAGTTTTGTAAAAAAAAAAAAAAGCAGAAGTTCTGCATTTATGCTTACCTATGATGTCTTTAATGGAGAATAGTAGACATTGTATATTTCATATTAATAATTTATATAGTATAAAAACATATTTGTAGAGTATCGTGCCTTACTTTTTGCAATTATATTGTCATTGTGTCTGTATCCCTTATGTATGTTTGTGCTTCAAAGATTGGCAATGGTGAATTTTTGAAGCCCAAATCTTAAAAGGAAAAAAAAAAGAAAAAAACTATCAAAATAATTGAAAATGATCTCTGTTTGTCGATTTATGTAGGGATTTTGGTCTTATCTAGAATATTTATTTTCTTTATCTGTAATAAATGACAAAAAACTGAATCCTTGATCAAATTTTAGTTGAGCAGTAGCTAAACCACTTACTATAAGCAATTTCTTCAATTGGAGATCTGAGCATTCCACATCTTAAGTAATGGCATTACAAGCTTGTTGGTGGTGAACAATCAAAAAGTTGGACGGGCAGATTGGAATGAATATTTGTGAGAAAGTCTGGCACTCTCAATAGAAATTGGCTACAATGTCTACCATTTTATTTAGAATAACTTCTCTCCCCGAGAGAAGATTTTCGAGACAAATGACTCGTAAAATAGTGGAGCATTGGAGACTAAATGATGATGAGGATTAATCAACACAATCTGAGGCTATAATGTGCTTACGCAGTGAGGGAAATTTTGAGGGCTAGTTCAGTGGTCCCTTGGCCATTGATGACGGCGACAACAACTCAGCTACTGTAACCCAATTTTGTGTTAAGGATGAAGTAGTTGAATTTGGTCGGATCGTCTTATTAAACCAATTGATTTAAGGCTTTCAAGCCTTGACTTGAGCGTTCTGGTCGCTCACGGACATAATGCAATGTGCCAAATTATATGTAAGGGCTAACATGTCTTTATGAATGTGGCCAGTCACCAGTTTAGCCAAACTAAACCTAATCAGTCATTGGTTCGGTCCTTTTGAATTGTCTTGAGACAGGTGTTTTGTGTAAAAATTGTACTTGATTAGATAAAAATGTTTATAAACCAATGGATCAAAATACTAACTTACATGGGGATTAGTGGAGAAAGTGGATTGATTTTTAATTTTTGCACTATGATTAACTGTCAATAGTAAAATTATGTATTTGCTAATTCAAATCATTATCTTTTTGATAACTAGGTAGATGGTAGATGCTTTCACAATAAAGTGATATTTTACTGTATCCAATTCTAAATTTTAGGGAAGTTTATTTTAGGGTAATTTACATACGACACAATTCTTTTGTATTTACTTAAATAACACTTAAAAGTTTGATCTTTACATTTATAACACTTTATAAACGTATGCATGAAAAATTTATTTCACTGTCATGAAGTTAATAAGAGTGGTGTTTTTTATGTAATGTTAAAGATCTGCATTTTATGCATGTAAGAGGAAAGTTAAGTGTTAAATATGTAAATATATAAGAATTGTATAGTATTTATGTAAATGTCCCTAAATTTTATCTTCGACAGTGGATTTTTCTTATATTGAATTAGGCTGTTTGAATCAAAATTGGCCTTTTTTTAATATTTTCCTTCTCAAGTGTTACATTCTCTTAATCATACATTTTAACATTTCTAGATTTTATAAGTCTCTTATAAAGTTTCTTGAGTGACTATTACTATTATTGTTTAGCTCTGCTAGTTCTCTTTTCCTTGATGAAAGCACTTGTGTTTGAATCTTCCTTTAATGCCCTTTAATTGCCAAGTTCCTTTTCGATGCCATAATGGGCAGAGTAGTTTTGCATCCAATAGTTTAAGAGATGATTTAATCCTGAAGGCTTAGGCTCAACTCTACTCTTACGAAAAATAAGATAAAATTACTTCTATTATTTCACATGTTTAATATGAAAAAAATGGTCCAATATATTTTGTCCAAAATTTTAATCATGGATGAAAACAATATTAATTATCCATTTATTGCACTAATCTCGAAGCATATCGAATAGCTTTAAGACTCATCCTAACCGTTGTTTTATAGAAATATCCTAATGCAAAATTATTTCAATATCCTTAAGCCTCATCCTAACGAATTTTTTTAGAATATCTTGGCACCAAATTATTTCATTATCATGCAGTTATGTTCTAATTAAAATGAACACAATCACTTTTGATTTTTTGGGGCATTTATATACTCACCTCCCAATTCCTTTGTATTTACATATCTAAAACCTAAACTTTATTTTTTACATATTTATACCATCCAATTATACCATCCAAATCTTTCACATCACATTAAAAGTACCACTTTTAACTTCTAAAAGTGAATGCACCATTTCATTTATAGGTAAATACATAAGAGAATTCAGCGGTTTTTTTGTAAATCTTCCTATTTTTTTTTGTTCTTTTACCTTGCCACAGCTCCCCTGAAAAATGCAATTGATTGGGCATCAAGGCCCCCAAATGTATGGGCAGGCAAGGCTGCAGCCGTTGTGAGTTCCGGGGGAGGCTTTGGTGGCGGCAGGTCTCAGTACCATCTTCGACAGATCGGTGTTTTCTTAGACCTTCACTTCATCAACAAGCCTGAACTATTTGTTCAAGCTTTCCAGCCTCCTAAGAAGTTTGATGAGAACGGTAATCTCATTGATCTGGAAGTTAAAGAGAGACTCAAGCAGATACTGTTATCGCTCAAAGCATTTACCCTGAGGCTACTGAATTAATGGTAATGTTTTTCCTTATTTATATATGAAAATATTTTGCTGTGATCTGCATTACAGTATAAATTTATGCGAGATGGTTACTATAGTGCTGAATAAAGGCTTCTTCTGCTTATGGAGTTATGGGTATACTGAAATAAATAACTTATTATTTGTCATCAAACTTATTTTATTGATTATATATGTATGTTTTTTATTTGAACATTTCATAACAAGTATTTTCATTTTTTTTTAATTTTTTTGTAAATCGAAACCGTGTAATTAATATCATTTAAATGCTACAAAATCTTATATATTTATTTTTAATCCCAACATAAACAATATTAGGTTTTTAATCATGTCCCATTATATTTGAAGATTGAAAGTTACCCGTTGCTAACAGTTCCTTTGTGAAGAGGCCACATTTTTTAGAATGCAAGATGGTCCTGGCTATTTAGAATGTATTTATTTTGGCAGTCCTTTCATTTGGGAGGCATTTACATACATGTCACACAACTTTTATGTATTTACATACCTAACTGTTGACTTCACTTTTGGGTAAGGGTTTTGAGTCTTTCCTTTAGTGACTAGAGCCTTAGGACTTTCCTAATGACTATCTTAGCATCTTAGAAATGGTACCTACCTTATTCTTAGACATTTCAACCAAATCTCTGCTCTCTATATTGGTTCTATATGTGATGAATAATCTTTAATACAAAGATTAGGGATTACATAAGGGGACCCTAATGAGATATTCTATAGGACCTATGGACCATAGGAAAGCCCTGCACTATTCTACACATTTTTGGACTTCAATACTTGCATCGTCATTCATAATCACGATGATCATCATAAACATTGTATTTTCATATCACAATGTTGCAATCATTACACTCATGGGGCCAACAAAATTATTTGAACCTAATTTTCCCTAAAATATCCCATTTGAATATTCTAATTCTTCAAAATTTCTCTAAATTGCCATTGAATCACACAACTCATTTCAAACCATTTGATATTATCATTCAAACCATTTGAAACAAAAAATTACAGAAATATCCAATTTTCCCAAAAATTACCAAAATACCCTGCATCACCAAAATATCAAAATTTTCAAAATTTCCAGTCACCAATAAGTCCTAAAAATCACATTAAATCATTTCTTATGTCTTCCTGTGAATTTTGACTGTAAACTTGCTATTCTTCCTGACAATTTTTTTGCACCTCGACACTAAAATAATGAATACTTAAAAAATGCTTTGAGGATCATAGAACCTTTCACGTTGATCGAAAATAATCCCGGACATTATCATTTAACTCAAAATTTCTTCCTCAACCACCTCAAGTCTTTCAATTAACCTTTTGACAACTTTTATCTTAGTTGGTCAAAATTACGAAAATGTCACTTGTGGCCCAAAAATTCTCAAATCCTCCACAATCATTTCAAACACCCTTAAAACCAATTCTTCACCATCCATTAGAACTAATTTGACCGAATTGACCCATTTGGACCAAAATCTCAATTTTGCCCCTAAGTGCCTAAAGTCTCCAAATCGCTTCGATTCACCCCAAATTGATCTTAAATTTCCTCATCATGATCAATTTCCAAAACGATCGATCATGAACCAAAAATTAGACGAAAATTAAATTTGAAGCATTTTTGACATGACCATCGACGAAAGTGGTCCGAACGACCCCGGATGACAAAACAGACTGCGTGATCGTGTCCAAAACGTTGATTTCACCTAGGGAGGATGCTCATTTCATCGCGATGACGCGTTCGGCGAAAAATGCGCGGGGAGATTTAAACAATAATAATAATATTTTATTATTATTATATAAGAATGAAAAATAAATAAATAAATCATACTAACACGCATGCAACAATCATACTATCACGCATGCAACAATTGACAATCCTATCCTATCTCATCACGCATGCATCATATATATATATATATAAATCTCACGCCTCCCCTCTCTCTTTCTCTCTCCCCTATACGCATGCTGCAACCAAAATTTAAAAAAATAAATAAAAAAATAATCTCTTCCATGCCAGCCTCCCCCCATGACCATAAAAGGTGGCCAAAATGAAAAAAAGAAAAGTAGAAGAAAAGAGGAGGAAGAGAGAGACCCAACTTTCCATAGATCCACCAAACTCACTTGCGCTCTTGAGCAAAGTTGTGCTCCTTAACCTGAGGAACACAACCACCCTTATCGCTGTCGCCAGAAAACTCGTTTGAAACTCACAGTCACCTTGCGATTTTGCATAGAAAACCCTTTCAAAACTTACCCAAATTGTTATATTAAGCTCCTTAGGTCCTTAGAAGACCAAGCAAAACATTTTTTATTCTCCTTTCGGCCGTTAGCACCTCCTCCAAGCGAAGCTAAGCCAACTCCGACAAACACCCGAACGAGAATCACGTCAAATCGACGCCACAAGGACTTGGATAAGCTCAAGGAAGTCTACTTATTAAACCTAATTAAGGACAAACCTGTTAGACTCAGTTATATCTCTTAAATTGAAACAATGATTCCGAACTATCATTCCTTCCAGATCGAAAAATATATCACAAAATACCCACGTATCCATATGGATTTGATCTAATATTCGAACTGAACAAAACAAGCTCAAAAACGTGAAATTTGGTTGAGAATCGGCGGAGAAAGGACTCCGGAATGTTCTAACCGTTGAAATCATCGCCGTTCGCGTGCAGTATCATCGCAGAAGGGAGAAGATACTGTAGCATTTTTTTTATTTCTTATTTTTATTAATTTCAATAATTATAACTAAACTTCAAAATTACATAAATTTTTGTAGAAAACTCAAAAAAATAAATCGAACTATGCTACGAATTCAGGAAAGTGAGAAAAATTTTTAAAATTAAAATCACGATTTGTCACCAAATAAATTTTAAATTTTTGAAGTATTTAAATCCTAAAAATTAAAATATAAATGAGAAAAATATGAAATTAAAAGTGAGAAAAATTTTTAAAATAAAAATCACGATTTGTCACCAAATAAATTTTTAAATTTTTGAAGTATTTAAATCATAAAAATTAAAATATAAATGAGAAAAATATGAAATTTTGCAGAGATATTAAATGGTTTGGAAACAATATTGTCTGATTTTTTCATGTCGTTTTGAATTCTCTATAGGGAGAGTTCTTTTTTTTTTTAATGAAATGAATCATTTTAAATAATTAAAATAATAAAAAATAATGTAAAATTATCAAATCGTCACTGATTTTGTTCTTTGATTATAAACAGATATTGGACACCTTCAAACCATGTTTATTAGGGGAGTATGTTTGAGTTAGGTTATGTTCGTCTAACCCGTGCTCAAGTTAAACTTAGTCTAGCCTATTTAGGGTTTATGTCAGTCCCATAATATTACTGAGACTGATCTAAATTCTTTTCCTTAGGGTTAACTCAATGTAAACTCAATTCTTGGTTAGCCAACTTCAGGGTTGAATTACTTAACCACCAAAATCTAATGTAGGTAAGCCTAAACCTTAGAATTAGTCATCATAAACCAATAGGATTAGCTGGCCTAAATCTGAGGTTAGTTAGCCCTAATCAATAGGATTAACTAACATAAACCTTAGTTTAGTTAAACCTAAACCAATAGAATTAGTTAACCTAAACCTCATGTTAGTCAACCCTAAATCAATAAGATTAGTTAATCTAAACCTTAGGTTAGTTAACCAACCTTAGGTTAGTTAACCCTAAACTAATAGGATTACTTAACCTAAACCTTAGGTTAGTTAAACCTAAACCTAAACCTAAACCTTAGGTTAGTTAAATCTAAACTTAACCCTAAATCAATATGATTAGTTAACATAAATCTTAGGTTAATTAACCCTAATCAATAGGATTAGTTAACCTAAATCTTAGGTTAGTTAAACCTAAACCAATAGGATTAGCTAACCTAAACCTAAGGTTAGTCAACCCTAAATCAATAAGATTAGTTAACTTAAAACTTAGGTTGGTTAACCCTAAACCTAAACCTAAACCTAAACCTAAACCTTAGGTTAGTTAAACTTAAACTTAACCATAAACCAATATGATTAGTTAACCTAAACCTTAAGTTAGTTAATCTTAAACCAATATGATTAGTTAACCTAAATCTTAGGTTAGTTAACCATAAATCAGTATTAGTTAACTTAAACCAATATGATTTGTTAACCTAAACCTTAGGTTAGTTAACCATAAACCAATAGGATTAATAAATCTTAGGTTAGTTAACCTAAACCAATATGATTTGTTAACCTAAACCTTAAGTTAGTTAACTTTAAATCAATATGATTAGTTAACCTAAATCATAGATTAGTTAAGGTTAGTTAACCCTAAACCAATAGAATTAGTCAACATAAACCTTAGGTTAGTTAAATTAGTCAACATAAATCTTAGGTTAGTTAACCTTAAACTAATATGATTAGTTAACCTAAACCATAAATTAGTTAAAATTAAACCAATATGATTAGTTAAACTAAGCCTTAGGTTAGTTAACCCTAACAAATAAGATTAGTTAACCTAAACCTTAGGTTAGTTAATCATAAACCAATAGGATTAGTTAACCTAAACCTTCGGTTAGTTAATGTTAGTTAACCCTAAACCAATAGGATTAGTCAACCTAAACCTTAGGTTAGTTAACCCTAAATCAATAGAATTAGCTAACCTAAACCTCATGTTAGTTAACCCTACTCAAATCCTAATTTTTAGATAAAAGAAACTTGAATCATAGCTTAGCCTTAAGTTAAACCTACCCTAAACCTTAGGTTTGAACCTAACCCATATGATGAAGATAGAAGAACCTTTTAGGCATAACCTTAACCCAAGTTAAACCTAAATCCCTCAACTTGAACATCAATTAAGAAATAAAATAAAACACATTGGAAATGGGTAAAATTTACATAAAACATATTAAAAACTTAAACGCAAATCAAAACAAATGTAACAAATCTTTAAAACATGGCTTTGAGGTTAAATTACCTTCGAAGTCGTCAACTTCACATAAGTAATGACAAATGAACAAAAATAAATAAAATAAAGCACTTAAAATCCGACAACAAGATGTAAACAACATAAAACATTTCAACTCTAAAATTGATGAAGTAATTCAAGAATTAATTAAATCTTA